GACATTGTTTGATTCAGTGACATTGATTGTACTACCGAGCTGATCTGATTCACTAGTAGTATGAGAGATTCTGAAACGAAGAAATCGAAGCTAGATATATAAACAAGAGAGTAGAGATTGCGACGATGGAGGAAGATCTCCTCCTACTCATTGCACGACGTCGCCGGCGCACGATGCGTTAACTAGCGTACGTAGAATAAGAGAGAGAGAGAGAGAGAGAGAGAGAGAGAGAGAGAGAGAGAGAGAATGTCAATTTTTTGCTATCCACGGATAGGACCGTAATAGTGTATCCCTCTCCTATTTTCCCTGGAAATTGTTGACTTAGTTCAAAGTCTCGTAGGAGGTATTCGTACACACCACAACACACACCGCAATCTGTGGGGTGTGTGTGTGTGTGTTTAAGAGAATGCATGATCAACATTCCAAAGCTTCAAAAGACATTTGGTGATCTGTTTGTCTAAAAAGATCCTATACTACAAGATATTTTTTTCTGTGTTTCGCACCTCATTGACAACCCACCTTCTTGCCCTTTTCTCATTCGATGTGACCTTTGAACAGATCCGAAGATGATGTTGTTGATAGGGATGAAGATCAGTTTGAAGAACAACCCCACAAATCCATCACAACGAATCCAATTGCCGTACAGAACGCCACCTTCGTGAATTCTGCACGAACACGCAATAGCACATTTCTTCCGAAATCTCAACGACAAGAGTCATAACCGGGGAAGTTAACAATGAATTTATAGGAATTGCAATCAAAGAGTGTATGATCGAAACCCTATGGTTAGATAGGGTTTATGAGGGAGAGAGAGGGGGTGGGGGTTGAATGAAGACGAAGTCACCTTGATCTCGCTGGTGGTATGGAAACAAAACGGGAGCGATTGGTCTCTCTCACCAGCAGATTGCTCGCCTTTGAATAACTGATGGAGGGAGAGAGAGGACAAGGATGGAGAACTATGGAGGCAATTGACGAGCTTTGCTGCTGTGGAATTGAAGAGAGCTTTCCGACAGGGTGTTATGTTAATCATGAATGAATGCCAAATGAGGGCATTCTCGTAATAAATAAAAAATAATATAATTAATTTAATAGACTAATAGACACATTTTTGTATAGTAAAACTTACTTACAATAACACATTTGGAAAAAAGCTTCCTTAGTGTTGTACAATTACTTTCTCTCTATACCATATACAAAAAGAATTAATTTAAGATAGGGAATATTTGAAAATTTCTATTATTTCCTAATTCGGAACATTTAATTAGTCTCCTTCAATTGAATTTCTATATATGACATATGTAACCACTTTCAACTTTTTGATAATTATTTTATATTTAAATTTTTTATTACCTTTATTAAATATTTTATATTTAAAATTTTATAAAATATCAATTTAAGACATTAGTAGATAATTTTCCAATAATGTTAAAATGAGGTGAGAGAATGTCTGACGGTAAAAATAAAGAAATATTATAATATTTATGCGTCGCACTAAATGATTGGTAGTAGACATTAAATGAAAGCGTGGACATTTGTCAAAGTGTGGCGTATGATATGTTTTCGGGGCCAAACCACGAAAACTGAGAAGTTAGCGAAACGGTCAATAACTCACCCCCAAATGTAAATTCTAAGACTCAAATTTTTAAATTTAGGGTGAAAAGTTTAATCAGTATCCACCGGAAAAGAAATAGAGATATAAAAAGATAAAAATATTAAATTTTGTCACAAAAAAACATACTCTTCGCAGCACAAATAAAAGTCTTGAAAATTTTAAAAAAAAATCACGTCACTAAAAATATATTCTTATGTCCCTTGTTGGTATTTGATCAAAACTTTTAATTATCATGAAAGAGAGTTTATTGAGTAATCAATATGATAATCATTTATGGAATAGGATTGTATTGAAAAAGTTTTAATATATAATGAATAAAGTATATTAAACATATGATAAGAACCATATAGAACAAATTGTATCTGAATATGTTTGAGTTATTCTATTTTATTCTTATAAATAGAGTTGAGTATTATGTAATTAATTGTCAAATAATTAATTTTTTAATAAATAATACATCGATATAGATTTTTAATCCGTGAATATAGGTATGGTATACCAAAATGGGTATGTTATATGGAACCACGCCATATTTTCCTGTGTTATTTTTATTGTTTTCCTATCTTTGAATTCTTATCTTCTAACAAGTATTATTTGTGTTAATTATCCGTTGTGTAAAATTAATAAATAGTATCAGAGTTATATTCCAACAAGTGGTTATCAGAGTTAGATTGATAATCCTGGTAGAACAATCAGAGTTAGATTGACGATCTTGGTGTAACAATCAAAACAAATTATTAGTAATTCAATGACCAAGTTGGTATTCATGTTAAAGAAAACTCTCTTGACACATATGTACAATTCATGTTTTTAATTAGATTCATAAGAAAAAAATGTTAAGTTGATATGAAATTAAATAGAATACTAAGTTGTTTCCTGATTATTTACATTTCAAGAATTACCACACGTGTTATGTTGAAGATGTTTCTTCAAGATTTTGAGCTCTTAGAGTTAAAGTCGCGGTATTTCAACGATTTTGGAGCTATTGGACTGACAGAAACCCCAATAGTGATGATGTAGTGTTTCGTAACTAGGTCATTGAAATCTCTCAAGAGCAAGTAAGACGCAGACAGAGTTGCACAAATGATGCAAGTCGCATGTTTAAGAAAGACAGAGAAGGTTGTGGCGACTTCGGAGAGCAGTACTTGAAAAAATTAGTGAATCAGAATCAAGTGTGATAAACTCGATCTTGGGCATGACCAAATTTGAAAAATTTGGTTCAAGAGAGGCCTTAGAATTTAATTCAAACTCTCTAATTATCATGAGTGATAAGTTATTGGGTAATCAATGTGAAAATCCTATTTATATTGGAAGATTTTTAATATATCATGAATAAATATATTAAACATGTGATAGAAACAATAGAGATCAAGTTGTATCTGAATAGGTTTGAGTTATAATATTTTATCCTTATAAATAAGGTTGAGTATTATGTAGATAATAAGTTTCAATGAATAATATATCGATATAGATTTTTGGTCCGTGGATGTAGGTACGGTGTACCAAAATGGATATGTTGTATCGAATCACGTTATATCTTTTTGTTTTTATTGTTTTTTTATTTTTGAATTCCTATCTTCCAACAAGTAGTATTTGTGTTAATTATTCATTGTGCAAAACTAACAAATGGTATCATAGTTATGTTCCAACATTCCTGATAATAATAGTATTAAAAAATTTAATTAATTTTCTAATTTAATAAGGTGGCAAATGGTGGAGTTCTAAAAAAAAAATTCAAGGGTTATTATCATAATAACATTAGCAAATTACGTTACCATCACATATTAAGTTAGTAAATTATCTCAATTTTTAGGTTCTAGATTACTCTATAAAGACTACCTCATATAATGATTAGAAAATAGAAAATTACTTCGAAAGTTAAGTTCCGAAGTTCTGAGTCTAGGAAAATGTATTTGCCTACCCAGATTTTTAAGAAGTCCTCGTTATCAATACCAAAAAAAGAAGAAGATTTATCTGATCCTGGAGTTTCAGTGATCATTTTTTACTGAACAATATAGGAAGCTAGTTGTTGCTACTGAGCAATTTTCTCACTGTATAGGTTGATATGGATTCCTAAACTCAGTTAAAAGATACTAACCAACGCATTCTCCAATTCTAAGGGGGGACAATAGCCCCACCCATCTCCTTAGTCCATCACTGTGTAGAGGAATTATCGTCGAAGAAAATATACCAAATGTCAAGGTTGTCAACTATCAAAGGAAAAGCTGGTTTGAACTTGTGATTTTAATAGGTCGAAGAGTTTCTACTGCTAGATGGTCCCGGACTTGCAGAAACAGAGGAGCTCCCAACAGTTGGATCACTGTCCCCGGGTGAGCTCAGAATATACATTACGTCGTCTATCCACAATAAAGGTTAGATAATCAAACTATCATCTCGGGTACCAAGTATTGATAATTTTGAACAGTGGATGATTACCATGTTTTAAATTCTGATGAAGTCATCGTTCTTGTCAATTGTCATGCATGCAGCACAATGCTCAACCTTAAAGTTTTCAATGGAAAAACTGGATTTGGATGTGTTATTCGGATTTTATGAACTGATTAGAGAAGTACTAAATCTTATATTTGAAGAAGAAAGTTAAACGAGGTAATAATTCAAATCCAAAAATGTTATATTTGGAGAAGGAAGTAGAAACAGACTCACAACACTCATTTGATTTGCCACCGGAAAGAAAAAGGAAATTAAAATGCTGTGTCTTTGGCATTTGAAGAGCTTGGGAGGAAGCCGGATTTGAAATAGGCAGCACAAGCACAGTTAAATGAACCACCATAGAAAACGACATACATAGCGGCAGCATATGAAGGGGATAAATCTGGAAAGCTGGTAATCATGGGCCATGGCTCTATTGAAGTTAGTATTATTAGACACCGAAAATGAACTGTTATGGTTCTAAGAGAGATAAATTGCATTTGTACGAATGGAGATTTGCTCCAAATGATGTAAACCCTAGTTTTTGGTTTGCCTTGCTTTTGTACATTTATCATTTATATCCATCACAATCTTTTTAACCCCCCAAAACAAAAAAAAACCTAGGTTTTGTTTTTTGAATGCAACATTGGGTTTGTGTGTCACACATATAAATTCACTAATTTTTGTTAGCTTTAATTTCTCATTTGATGATCACTTAAAGTTCAGAGAAACTATCATGAAGACTGACTAGTGAACAGACCAATTCAAGGTTTGAACTCATCGGGAAAACAACAAAAGAATAAATTAATGTGTAGAACGATAAAAAGACCAAGTTCTAGTACAAGAAAACAAACTTACACCATTTCAGAGAAGACAGACCATAATTGCTCAGGGAAAAAAAAATCATCTTAGGGCAAGGGGTCATTTTGAGGTAGAAGTACCAGAAAACCAGAAATGATCAGAAGAACTTTCTGGTACCCAGTGTCGCTGATGGCTCCTGAAACTCATGCCCTAGCCTAAGCTCCAGGTCTAGTTCTTCAGCCTGCAAACCCTTTTCAGTAGTTGCACCACCGCTACTGTTCGGCTCTTGATTTTCGATCCTTGATGTTGTTTCTGAAGACAGTGGCAGTTCTCCCACATGGGTTTCATATCTTGAAGTAACATCTTCTTCGGGAGAGAGATTCCATGGCCAGTTTATTGGACTTTTCTCTTGAATGGACTTGACCTCCAGTGCCTGAAGATTGGTGAAACGATAGGTTGGTGTGGTCTTTGGGATGTCCAAGAACTGTTGAGCCTCGTTTGAGGCTTGTTTGATCTTGGCCTTGTCCTTCCTGTGGATGTTCATGTGGCCTCCTAGTGCCTGTGCGTTGGAGAAGCCTCTTTTGCAGAAGGTGCATTCATATGTCCTGGCTTGAGGGTTTGGACCCTGCTCATCTGTAGAGCAAACAACTGCCTGGTCGATAGTTTCTGGAGCAGGCTGATCAGCTTCCATTTCCTTCAATGAGAGAGAGAGAGAGAGAGAAGATGGTCAACTGACTGGTAGAAGATGATGTTTTTAACGAGGGGGAAGACGATCGAGTCTTGGGCCTCTTGGCCTCTTCTGATCGGACGTTTTCGGAAACATTTAAAATCAAGGAAATTGCAAAAATAAAAACAAACATCGAATAAGAAACTTTTTCATAACATTGTCTATGTATTTTTAACGAGTTAAAAAGTAGAGAATGGAGCCTACATAATGGGTAGTTCTACAAGCAAAAAATAGTGGCTCAGCATGATTGCATCATTGCGTAAGTACATGATTTTTTTACAAAAATTATTCGTAGTCTTAGTAGTATAAGTGTGACTACTAACGAGAGGGCGTGCAACTTTGAAAATTATTACCAAAGCTTAACATATAAAAAAAAATAAACATCAAAATATAGATATTCGTTCCTATCATATATTTAGTGCTATTTAAATCCAATTTAGTGACCTAATTTAAAGAGTTTAATTCATCATCGTAATTCGATTAACAACAAACTCCAATGGTAAATAGATACCACTTTTAATCTAAACATTTCAAGAAATAAGAAGTCCTTCTTTAAATTGAAAGGAGTGAAAAGATATATTTGAAAATAGCCGGATTGGTAGGAGGAAGGGCACAACCGCACAGTCATAATACATTAGGTTCTTAAATCCAACACAAATGAAATTTTCCTTATTTAGAATACAAGACTAGAAAATTTTCATTTTTCTCCTTTTTTTTAATTATCTTATTTAGAAATTTGATAACGTATCTTACTTAATAGAAATATATGTTGATTAGGGTTTCACTTAGTTTTTCTGAATTCGTCTAAGTTACATATGTCCAAAAAGTTATCTCCAAGTAGGTTTTAGACGAAAGGGATAGCATATAAATGTCACCACCATCTAAGCTTATACTAATCTTAGGAATGCTCGTGTGCTAAACCTGTAACATCATTTACAAATTGAAGTCATTTTCAATATTTGGTGGATTCCTAAATTATATTGTCATTCTTATGGTAGATTAAAAAATTATTCAAGTATTCGAGTACAAGTATAACCACCTTCTCAAAGTTTCGATAAGCTCTATGTGCGTGCAAGATCCTGCACAATATAAAAACGAGAACAGATCTCTCCCTTGGTGAACTCGAGTGAGCCAGTTGAGTGACCAACCACGCTGCTTGGAACAGCCTGCGAGGTCCGGTGGTAACCTGGAACGGCGACGGGAGACCCTGGGGGAGCGGAAGAACGATCCAGTAAGGCTGAAAGAGGTTCCTGGAACAAAGAAGAACAAGTTAGAAGGGCGCCGGAGTGTTTTCCGGCGTATCCCCTCCGACGATCTAGTCAGTCTTTGAGAAAGAGAGAGGAAGGAGAAAACACTGAGTGTGTATTGTAGTAAAGAGTTTTTTGTTGCATACCCGTCTTGCCTTTTGCAAGGAGTATTTATACCTCAAAAGCTCATGATTGCTGTCAGTGTAGTCAGTAGGTGATCATTAGGTACAGGCAGTGTTTTTTTTTTTTTAACTGTCTTCGGGGGCTTGCCCATTCAAGAGGCACGCTCTTGTGTTTGCTTCGGGGACAGGAGTCCTTGAACTCTGTCCCTAGGGCCTTGCCCTTCCAGGAGGCTTGCTCCTGTATATGTTTCGGGGACAGGAGCCCTTGAACTTCGTCCCTAGGGCCTTGCCCTTTCAGGAGGCTTGCTCCTGTATTTGCTTCGCGGACAGGAGTCCTTGAACTCTGTCCCCAGGGCCTTGCCTTTCCAGAAGGCTTGCTCCTGTATATGCTTCGGGGACAGGAGCCCTTGAACTCTGTCCCCAGGGTCTTGCCCTTCTAGGAGGCTTGCTCCTGTATATGTTTCGGGGATAGGAGCCCTTGAACTCTGTCCCCAGGGCTTTGCCCTTCCAGGAGGCTTGCTCCTGTATATGTTTTGGGGACAGGAGCCCTTGAACTCTGTCTCCAGGGCCTTGCCCTTTATCTTTGTCGTTGGCAAGCACTTGAGGGAGAGAATACTTCAAAAGTAATATTTCTTTAGATTCATAACATTCCATGGTCGTATTACAAGTTTTTCATCCATGCCTTCCAATCTGTATGACCCGGTGCCCCCGATTGATATCACTTTGTAAGGCCCTTACCAGTTAGGTCCCATTTTTCCCTCTGTTGGATCACGGGTATTCGCCGTTACCCTTATGAGGACCAGATCGCCTATTCGAAATTCTCGCGCCTTGACCCTTCTGTTGTATAGTTGGGAAATCTTCTCCTGATACTTAGTTATCCTCAAGGCGGCTGCCTTCCTTCTTTCTTCCACTAGATCCAAATCCAATCCTAGTTGACGGTCATTCCCCCTTCGTCGAAAGCTTGGGGTCCTTATGGTCGGGAGCCCTACTTCGAGGGGTATGATTGCCTCCATTTCGTATGCCAGGGAGTATGGGGTTTTCCCCTATCGAGGATTGAGGGGTGGTCCTGTACACCCACAAAATATTTAACAGTTCATCCGCCCATTTTTCCTTGGCTTTCTCCAACCTCTTCTTGATCCCATTGATAATTGTCTTATTGGAGGTCTCTGCCTGCCCGTTGGCTTGAGGATAGGCAGGGGTGGAGTAGAAATTACGGATTCTGAGTTGCTCACAGAAAGACTTGAAACGCCCGCCGGTGAATTGAGTCCCGTTATCTGACACCAGTGCCCGGGGAATCCCAAACCTGATGATTATGTTCTCCCAGACGAACTTTTTGGCATCTATGTCGCGGATATGAGTCAACGGCTCCGCCTCTACCCACTTGGTGAAATAATCCGTGGCCACAATGAGGAACTTCCTATTTCCCGGAGCCTTAGGCAGGGGTCCAACTAAATCGAGCCCCCACTGGGCGAATGGCCAAGGGCTGGTCAGGGGGTGTAAATCCCCCGCGGGTTGCCTGATTGCAGGGGAGAACTTCTGACACTGATCGCATTTTTGGACGTATGCGCGTGCATCCCTTTGCATTTGCGGCCACCAATATCCCTGAGACATGATGCGGTGTGCCATCGATCGCCCCCCAGAGTGCCCCCCGCATATTCCTTCATGTACCTCATAGAGAAGGTCTTGTACTTGGTCTTCTTGGACGCATAGCAAGTAAGGCCCTGAGTAAGACCTCCGATACATTTTCTGATTCGGAGAGACCCAAAATCTTGGAGCTTTGAGTTTTATCTTCCTTGCTTCCTTTGAACACTCCGGGAGATCTCCTGTTGTTAGGAACCTGAGAAAAGGATCAATCCAACTGGGCGGCTTGTGTGCGTCCTGGATGACCATTGCCTCGGGAGCATGGTCTATGCAGGATGCGGGAAGGTATTCAATGGTGATCCTGCGCGACTGGGAGGAGTGCACCGCCGAGGCTAGACAAGCCAGGGCGTCGGCATGTGTGTTCTTGTCTCGGGACACTTGTTTGATTTCAATCCGGCCGAACCTCCGGATTACAGTCGTCGCCTGGTGATGGTAGGCCTTCATCCTAGGGTCCCTCGTTTCAAACTCTCCGTTGACTTGATTGACTACTAGCATAGAATCACAATGCACGATTAAATTGGTAACTCCAGTCGCCTCAGCTAACCGAAGTCCTGAGATGAGGGCCTCGTATTCAGCTTCATTATTCGAAGCCTTGAATCCCAGCCGAACGGCCTGCTCCGCAATAATCCCATCTGGAGAGGTCAGCAAGATACCGATTTCGGACCCCTTACTATTTGACGAACCGTCCACACACAAAAGCCAGGGCGATCCTTCACAATTCGTTGGAGACGCTAAGTCGGGAGGAGGCGGTCCTTCTAGAACGGGATGCTCCCCCGAAAACTCAGCTATGAAGTCTGCTAATATTTGACCTTTTATCGCAGTTCGGGTTTGAAATAAATGTCGTGCTCCCCCAACTCTACTGCCCACTTGGAAATCCTTCCGAGAGTTCCGCTTTTCTCAAGATTGCTTTCAAGGGCTGATTGGTAAGGACAGTGATTGGGTGCGCCTGAAAATAATGCCGCAGTTTCCTTGCAGTGGTGACCAGGGATAGAGCCAGTTTCTCTAGGGGTAGATATCTTGTCTCTGCGTCCAGGAGCGCCTTGCTTATATAATAAATCGGCTTCTGGCGGTGCTCATGCTCACGGATAAGTACCCCGCTTACCGCAAACTCAGATACTGCCAGGTACAAGAACAGCATCTCCCCCTGGATGGGGACAGACAAGGTTGGAAGAGTCCTTAGGTATTCCTTGATTCCAGTCAGGGCGTCCTCGCACCCCTGGCTCCACATATTCTTCTCAGCACTCTTGATTGCTCCGAAAAAGGGTTTGCATTTGTCTGAGGAGCGTGAGACGAAACGGTTAAGTGCAGCCAGCATCCCTGTGAGTTTCTGGACTTCTCGGACAGTGCGGGGGCTCCGGATGTCCAGGATCGCTTGAATCTGATCTGGGTTGGCTTCGATTCCTCGTTAACTAACCAGGTATCCGAGGAATTTACCTGATTTCACTCCGAAAATGCACTTTGCCGCATTCAGCTTCAGCCCATACTCCCTGAGGGTGGAGAAGGTATCCGCCAAATCTGTCAGATGATCACAACTCCGTTTGCTCTTTACCAGCATATCGTCTATGTAGACCTCCATGGTGTTGCCGATCTGCTTTTTGAACATCCGATTCATCAGTTTTTGGTATGTTGCCCCGGCGTTCTTTAGTCCAAACGGCATCACTTTGTAACAGTAAACTCCCTTCGGAGTGATAAACGCCGTCTTTTCCTGATCCGGGGTATAGAGAGGGATCTGATGATATCCTGCTCGGGCATCCAGGAAGTCCATTCGTTCATATCCGGCAGTGGCATCTACCAGCTGGTCCACCTTTGGCAGAGGGTAGTCGTCCTTGGGACATGCCTTGTTTAGATCTGTAAAGTCTACGCAGACACGCCATTTCCCCCCTTTCTTCTTTGCGCACACCGTATTAGACAGCCATTCTGGGAACTGTATCTCTCGAATGGCGTCGGCCTTCAGGAG